GTGGCTGATACCCCTAGAAACAAGACTGAGGACCAGGGCTTAGAAGCAGCAGCAAAGTTCCCTGTAGCTAAGCCAGGGCATCACAGAGGAGAGACATGAAGTCATCTTAGTGGGCTGCCGAGAGCAATACTGTCTACAGCAAAGGGGACAGGAGGACAATGAGGACTAGTGTCAGTTAATAACCAGGGGTCTCTCCATTCCACGTCCTGAGCCCTATAAGCTTCAAGCTCACATACATCCCAGGGTTCTAGCACAACAAAAACTGATTCCTGACTTCTCATTCACTTTACTCAGAGAAGCCTTTAGCCACATTTTTATGTGACTTTAAAAATAAAGATATAAGTTGCCCACCAATTTTCTGAAAAAAATTTAAACTGTTACATGAGTCCTGGCCAGTTTGGCTTAACAGTTAGAGCATCAACCCGTGGACCAAGGAATTGCGGGTTCGATTCCTGGTCAAGGGCACATGCCTCTGTTGCAGGTTCAATCCCTGGCCCAGTCAGGTTCATGGGAGGGGGGGGGGGGCGACCAATCGATTTGTCTCTTGCATTGATGTTTCTCTCTCTCTCTCGTCCTCCCCTCCGCTCTATCTAACTAAATCAATGGCAAAAAGGTCCCTGGGTGAGAATTTAAAAATAAATAAATAAAAATAAATTGCTACATGAAAGGCCTTCTCTATTGCTTCTACGCAATTATATTGTGAAGAATCTGTAACAATGTCAGCTGTGGCCAAATTCTGGCTTTGACTTCACTGAGAGACATTAGAATCTGGGGAGATTATGTCCCACACAACCACTGCCCTAAATATTTTTCACTTAAAGTTGCCACATTCCACTTTTTTATTTTCTTTTATATGGCCCAACTGCTGGGCCACATCACTGTGGCATAACTGCAGAGTCTAGCATCAGGGGCATCATCTGAGGTCTTGGCATCTCCCAGGTATGGCTCACACGTAGCATGCCATTCCTGAACCACACTTTTATCCTCTCTTATTCTTGACGCACAAGAGTTTCTAACATCTTCCCTTGAAGTGTCTACCAACAGAGCTTTATGTCGCCCACATGAGATCCTAGAAGCTTCTCCAGACTGTCATCTTCATGTGATGATCGAACTCAGTGGGGGCGAGACAGGTGGAATCGGACACGTCCATTTAAATTGAGATCTGTCACATTCTGGCTGAATGATCTCTGGTAACTTACTTCACCACTTTAACTCTGAGTTTTCTTATCAGTCAAATGGGAAAACTGATAGTAGTTCCCTGAAAGGATGGTTGTGAGGATACAGTAGGGTAATGATAAAGCTCTAGGCACAATGTTTAGCTCATTATCATTACATGAGAAATGGTAGCTATTATTAGCAATAGAAATCTAAACCACTGAAGAAATGTTCAGTTATCACCATAACTGCCTTCCAGCAGTACTTTAGTGACTAGTAATGTGGTAAGTGCCATGTTTAATGTTATGAATTAGATGAGCTTCTAAGTTACTTAGATCTATTAATTTTCTTGTGAGTTTTAAAATAACTTGCCTTTACTATACAAAGAAAAAGTCACTTATTAGATGCCACACTTTCCAGAGTGATGTACGTATATATGCAAAAATACCTGCAAATTAGATTTCAGACAAATGCCAAGATAAAAAATGCCCCATCCATCACATAGGTACTGTCATTTTTAGGGTTTAATTTTTTTTTTTCTTTTTATTTATTTATCCTCACCTGAGGACATTTTTCCACTTTTTTGTTCAGGTAGAGTGAGAGGAAGATAGAGAGAGAGAAACATCGACGTGAAAGGGACACATCGAGTGGCTGCCACCCACACGACCAACCAGGGCCGGGGACAAACTGCAACTGAGGTACGTGCCCTTAGCGGGAACCGAACCCGGGTCTCTCCGGACCACAGGCTGACACTCTAACCACTGAGCAAAACCGGCCAGGGCTTTAGGGTTTAACTTTTAAAGTAAGCAATACCATTTTTAAAGTAATAACTAATAGTGACTTGATTATTAGAGTTTTTAGAAAAATTCTTGCTCGGCTGTCAGATTCATAATGTTAACTGTGTGATATTACAGTAAATAATGAGCAAAGAATGTCCCTGGAAACATTCAAATGGAAATAATTCCTATTCAGACATCAATTCTGTAACAGATTTTTGAACACTTGGCCAATAAATTTAATCAGTGGTGTGCTGGTAAATGTTTAATAACCAACTCCCGCCCTGGTCAGTTTGGCTCAGCGGTTAGAGCATCGGCCCACGGACTAGAGAGGCCCAGGTTTGGTTCCCGCTAAGGGCACGTACCTTGGTAGCAGTTTGTCCCCAGCCCCGGTTGGGGTTGTGTGGGTGGCGACCACTCGATGTGTCTCTCTCACGTCGATGTTTCTCTCTCTCTCTTCCTCCCTCTCTCCCTCCTGCTCTATCAATATAAATGCAAAAATGTCCTCAGGTAAGCATAAAAAAAAATAATAATCACCAGCTCCAAAAAGAATGGAGGCCCAATTTGTAGTGTTTGCCAGTTTCCATGGTGTAAAATACTCCACCATGACCCATTGCAAACTAACAACCAGCTCTCAAAAATCCATGCTAGCCAACACCAACACATCACCCAAATATGGAGTAGTATTCATGATGGTTAGGAAGTTCACTTAAGAGGGTCGTTTACATGGGAACCAAGGAATTAGCTCATACGTAACAAGTAAATATAGATAAATGCTATACAAGTTTTCTAGGAAGGTGGCTGAAACAATTTTACAGTGAGCTAATACCACAGGTATTATTCACAAATCTTCCTCACAGAGCTGATCCTCTCTCTGCACAAGTGGCTGTATACACCAGTCTTGCATCATCTTCTTCTATACTGACCCCACTGTTCTCTTAACAGTCTTGCCAGACTGAACTGTTAACCTGGATAGGGGACCCTCTCTTTATTCATTTAATATAATTCATCAAGACATAATGGTTTTCTTCCCTAATTTTCCTCATAACACTGTTTTTTAAATATGTTTTTATTTATTTTTTAGAGAGAGAAGAAGGGGGAAAGAGATAGAAACATCCATGTGAGAGAGAAACATCAGTGGTTGCCTCCTGCACACCCCCTACTGGGGATCAAGCCCGCAACCCACAACCCAGGCATGTGCCCTGACTGGGAATAGAACTAGGACTTCTCAGTCCATGGGATGATGCTCAATCCATTGAGCCACACCAGCCAGGCCCTTATAAGAATATTATAACTGTCCTGGCCGGTTTGGCTCAGCAGTTAGAGCGTCGGCCCACGGTCCAGAGAGACCGGGGTTCGATTCCCACTAAGGGCACCTACCTCGGTTGCAGTTTGTCACCGGCCCCAGTGGGGGTTGTGCAGGAGGCAGCCACTCGATGTGTCCCTTTCACATCGATGTTTCTCTCTCTCCCTCTCTCCCTCCCACTCTATCTGAACAAAAATGAAAAAATGTCCTCGCTGAAGGCTTAGCACGCAGCCGAGGCGGCAGCAGCTTCCAGCTGAGACCCCTGGTCCCAGCCCAGGCCACTGCGGACTGTGGGCTCCCCGCCCCCTCTCGCATCCTCGCAAGCCTACCAGGATTGAGTCAGTGTCCATGTGTGCATGAACAGTGGACATGGACAACAAACTGGGGACAGGGCAGGGAGGGAGAAGGAGGTGGGAATCAGTGGGGGAAAAAGGAGAAACATCTGCAATAAAAATTAATTAATACAAAAAAAATGTCCTCGGATAAGGATTAAAAAAAGAATATTGTAACTTCCCATCTCCCTTCTTTTCAGTAAACCCACCACCCAGGAACAGACACATTCTCTATGAACAGGAGGCATTAACCATCATTTAATCATTTGCTTATCTGCTCTTTCATTTAGGAACAGAAAAACTAAGCTTTTAGGAATTACCATTTGGAAGGCTGTAGGAAAGCCAAAATAACCTCTTTTGTCTTACGTCCAGCTTTGAACTCCAGACTACCCCTAGACCACTTCACTGTTAATTCATAATGTTGCACTTCAAACCTGCTTATTTGCTAAAAGACAAGCTATTAAATGATAGTCATCAATTCTACAATCTCTCTGTAGGTTACACTAAAAAGGAAAATTACATTATTTCTATGGCTAGAAACAAGACATCCATCGTTAGACGAAAGAGTTCTGTAGACAGATGATGATAAGCATTCTGTGAATGGATGTTGGTAAATGTACTTAACGTCACTGACCTGTACATTGAAAAATGTAAACTGAAGATGGTAAATTTTATATTATGTGTACTTTACCAAAAATTTTTAAAAACAGAAATCTATTAAAGAGAAATTTTGACACACTCCTCTCCAGGACTTCAAGTAAATAATACACTATTTCTCCACATCCTTGACAACAAATAAGTCAAACAAAGACAAACATCATATGATTTCACTTATATGTGGAATCTAAAAAATAAAAAATGAATACACAAAGCAAAACAGAAACAGACCCCACAGACAGAGAACAAACTTATGGTTGACAGAGGAAAGGGGGTAGGGGATGAATGAAAAAGGTGAAGGGGAATAAGAAGCACTAACTTCCAGTTATAAAATAAAAAAGCCCCAGGGATATAATGTACAGTACAGGGAATATAGTCAATAATATCATAATATGTTCTATGGTGACAGATGGTTACCAGACACATTGTGGTGAGCACATCATGAGATATATAAAAGTAGAATCACTATGTTGTACACCTGAAACTACTATAGTATGGTATGTCAACTGTACTTTAATTTTTTTTTTAAATAGAAAAAGACAGATTTTTTAAAATAAATAAATAAAATAACATCCTTTACTATTGCCTGAGTTTCATTACAGATTTCAGACATAGGGGCACCGAGTGTTGAAAAATGATGTTTTTGCTCAGCTAGACATCAATGCTACATGTTCATTTTTGTAAAGGTCTCATATTCATTATAATTAATTTCATGGGCTAATAGGAAGGTAGATGGTTTAATCAGAAAACAAATGGTCAAAAAGTCAAACATACTGCATTCTTTGCCTCTCACTGGGTCAGGCAGGCCAGAGCAGTCCACTGCAGCATTCGGAATGGCAACTCTCCACCTGGAGCCGCTGCTATCACATTCCGTATATTCAAAGTGGTAATCCTTCTGCAAACAATTACAAAGACAAGCCTTTGTTAGAGCCACTTTTAAAGGGACAACTGTGCTTTCTCCATCACCCCCAACCCTGCCTGCAAGCTTTACTCTCTGGTTGACTCTCCTTCTCCCCCTACTCAAGCAACACCAAGTCGTTTTTTGACCAAAGATGCATCATGTCAGACACTGATTAGGTACTGAGGATAGATGAGGGACTGGACAGTCAATGATCTCAAGCTATGTCCACTGACCTTTAGTCTCACCATTCAACAGCAAATTTCCCTATTTCTTTCTTTTTTTTGGTATGTGCCCCTAGCGGGAACCGAACCTGGGACTCTCTGGTCCTCAGGCCGACGCTCCAACTGCTGAGCCAAACAGGCCAGGGCTCCCTATTTCTTTTGCAGAATTTTAGAGCTCTAAATAATTGATAGATAGGAGGATAAGAGCCAATTAACACCAGGAAATTGAATGCTGTCGCTGTCACTGTCCCAAGGTTTTCAAAAACAGAAATAAAAGAACCACTCCCATTAACCTAATGCTCACTCTGTTTACAGTTTAACAGAGGTGGTTGTCCAGTGGTTAGAGCGTCAGCCTGCACACTGTAGGATCTCAGGTTCGATTCCTGGTCAAGATCACGTACCTGGGTTGCAGGTTCAATTCCCAGCCCTGACATTGGGAGGCAACCAATCCATGTGTCTCTCTCACACTGATATCTCTCTCTCCCTATCTCCCTCCCTCCCTCCCTTCCACTCTCTCTAAACATCAATGGGAAGAAATATCCTCATGTAAGGAATATACATAGGTATAATAATCATCCAAATGCTAGTAAAATGCTACCAGTTTTTAAGCAGCTCTCAGGCTTAATACACATGCACCACAGCAGGCTGTCATCAATCACAGACCATAAAATAGGCATTTATAATAATTGACAAATCAAGACCAATCCACTTGTCTCTGGCCTTCAGTTGCTTTGAAATTTGCAGTGTCCTCCATTAGTCAGAGAACATGGCACACATGAGTCGTCCTAGCTCAGAAGAACAAGGACAAAAAGTCACTGGAGTATTTGAAGAATAAGAGAAGTTCCAAAACCTTCCCAAAATATTTTCAGTCCAATATCCTATTAATTCAGTTCAATGTCTAGGATGTTGCTATTCTACTTCATCCATTCTAATTGCTTCCCTTACCATATCAACTACAGGCGAGAACAGAAATGTCAAGCCATATCACCATTCAGGAAATCAGGTGTGGGAAGCAGGAAGGTATCCGGGTGTGTGCGTCTTTCTACATGGCAAGAATACCAGTTAAGAAATGGGTTATGCCCTGGCCGGTTTGGCTCAGCGGTTAGAGTGTCAGCCTGTGGTGCAGAGAGACCTGGGTTCGGTTTCCGCTAAGGGCATGTACCTCGTTTGCGGTTTGTCCTCAGCCCTGGTTGGGCCATGCAGGTGGCAGCCACTCAATGCCACTCGATGTGTCCCTTTCACATCGATGTTTCTCCCTCTCTCACTTTCTCTCTCTCCCTCCCACTCTATCTGCACAAAAAATGGAAAAATGTCCTCGGGTAAGGATAAAAAAAAAAGAAATAGGTTCTTCCCTGGCCGGTTGGGTTCAGTGGTTAGAGCATCGGCCCGACACCAGAGTCACGGGTTTGATTCTGGTCAAGGGCACATACCTTGGTTGTGGTTTGGCCCCTGCCTTGGTCAGGGTTGTGCAGGAGGCAACCAGTTGATGTGTTGCTCTCACATTGATGTCTCTCTCTCTGTCTCTCTCTCTCTCTCTCCACCCCCCCCATCTCTCTCCCCACTCCCACTCTATCTGAGATACTGGAAAAATATTCTCAGGTGAGGATTAAAAAAAAAGAAGAAACAGGTTCTGAGCCCAGCTGGCGTGGCTCAGTGGTTGAGAGTCAACCCATGCACCAAGAGGTCACTGGTTCGATTCCCAGTCAGGGCACATGCCCAGGTTGTGGGCCCAATCCCAAGTGGGAGGCATGCAGGAGTCAGCCAATCGATGTTTTCCCTCATCAATGTTTCTCTCTCTCTCTCCCTCCCCCTTCCTCTAAAATCAATAAAGAAAAATAATTAAAAAAAAAAAAGAAATGGGTTCTGAAGTCAGAAAGGTCTGAGTTTAAATTCACATCCCCAAACCACCCCCACCCCCACCCCCCACACACACACCAGAGCTATCTGCTTGTGAGAAGGGATTGAACAAAAAAGAAAAATAAAAAAGAAAAAAAAAACTCATGAACATGGACAACAGTAAGGTGATTACGGTGGGGTGCGGGGGTGGAAGAAGGTATGTGGGGGATAAATGGTGATGGAAAAAATTATACAATAAAATAAAGGGGAAAAATTATTAAAATTAATTTACATCCCATTCCTCCACATACAATCTATAATATTTGACAAGTCACATACCTCTCAAAGCATTCGTTGTTTCATTAGTAAACTTAGAATAATAATGTTTACTATCTTGTATGGTTATTGTAGAAATTAATTGAGATAATGCATGTAAAATGTCAGGCTGCACTGAGTTAGCATTTGATTAATGGAAGAATTATTATCCTTATTAACGACAGCAGGGATAGAGAGGATGGTACAGAGAAAGGAGCTAGTGGTGATACGGCAAGGCACAAACCACCTGGGTTTCTGCTTCCCTTGCTTTGATTTCTGCATATACATGAGATAAAATGAGAAGGGACTGTAAATTAGAGAAGGTGGGAATATCAGGCTGGAAGCAAAGGTCTTTATGTTACACTCTTGCTCTCCCCAGAAATAAAATGTAGTATATCCAACAGGCAATCATCTCTGGGCATTATTGTTCCCACTCAAGTTTTTGACAAAGTTTAGCAACAGATAATTTGAGATTATGTCCTTTGATAACTGCCTGGGTCTCAAGTATGCTTTACTGTTCATTAAGGGCAAATCTACATACTTAAAACAATCAATAAAAGCAGCCAAATGGGAGTGGCTTTCTAGAGGGAAGACTAGAGGAGGAAGAGAAGAAAGGGTGGGAGGAAAACAATAGAAGTTCACTGAATGTGACTACATACAAATGTTGAATTTGACTACATACAAATGTTGACCAGAAAGTCATAAACTAAAGGCAAACAACACCACAACAAACTGGTGAAGAAATAAGACAAAACAAAGGTTAACTGCCTTAAGAATACTGGGTTTCTAAAAATCAGTAAGGAAAAGAACAAATAATTATTTGGAAAAATAATCAAAGAACACAAAAATTCATTAAAGAAAAATACAAATGGTTAAGGAATATACAAAAAAGTTTTAAACCTTGTTAAAGAAATAAAATAATATGCCCAGCTGGTGTGACTCAGTGGTTGAGCATCGACCCATGCACCAAGAGGTCGCTGGTTCGATTCCCAGTCAGGGCACAGGCTCAGGTTGTGGGCCCTCCCCAGTGGGGGGCATGCAGGGGGCGGACAGTTGATGTTTTCTCTAATCAATGTTTCTCTCTCTCCCTCTACCTTCCTCTGTCTCTAAGAATCAATAAAGAAAGAAAAATGTTTTAAAAAAAATAAAATGATAATGTTCATCAAGCGGGTACATTTAAACTATTTTTTTAAAACTCTCTAAGGTGACAACAGTGCATGCAGTAAAATGAGCACTTGTGTGCTTCCAACGATAGAGTAAAGTGGTACAAGCTTCCTGGAGAAAAGTTTGTCGATATTAATCAAGAGCTACAAACTGTTCAAACTTTTGAACTCAAAAACCTCACTTCTGGCATCTAATTTAGGGGGGGAATGTTTAATGTGGTCAGTGATTTATGTGCAAAACTGCTCATCATAACTTTGGTATAGCTAGGGAGAGCATACTTAACAGTTGAGCATTAAAGAATCTTGCACCTACATTATTTATCTGGTATTTTTCATTTGTATTTACATCATTAAATACTTATAACAATTATGGGGCTTTGGAAGTACAGTTCATGTAATTCCCATTGTTCAAATGAAACTCAGTTTGGGTAAGTAATTTACCCAGAGACACCCAGCTAGAAAAGAGTATAGCCAAAAGCAAAAGTCAAGCCTTCTGTTCATTTACAAGCATTTTTGGTTTATATAATGATATTATGCTTAAAATAGAAGGTCACTGCTTTAAAATAGACAGTGGTGAAGATTTCTAACATAAAAACCTGATGGCTACAGAAATCAACAGTGATCATAAAGATGGCTCATATTCAGAGAGAATACAAGAGTCCACAGATGAGGGAAATGATTTGATTCCTCTTTCTTCCTGTATTAAGTTTTTTGTGACTGCTGCAAGTCATTACCACACTCTTACCTGCTTAAGACAACACAAATGTATCCTTTCACAGTTCTGGAGGCAAAAAGCCCAGTAAACATTGAGCACTCATTTGGATTCTTTTTTTATTATTATATTTTTATTTATCTTTATTTTATTTATTATTATTTTTTATTTTTATTTATTTAATTATTTATTTATTTTTGTTACAGATATTTCTCCTTTTTCCCCCACTAATTCCCCACTCCCCTTCCCTCCCTGCCCTGTCCCCAGCTTTGTTGTCCATGTCCATTGTTCGTGCATACATGCATATATTATCTCTCCCCCACCACCCCCTCTTCTGGGGATTGTCAGTCTGTACCCCACTTCCACATCTCTGGGACTACCCCATTCCTCAGACTGTTATGTACATTATATTCCACAAATAAGTGAGATCATGTGATACTTGTCTTTCTCTGTTTGGCTTGTTTCACTTAGGATAATACTTTCCAGGTCCCTCCATGTCATCTGAAAGGATAAGAGATCTTTCTTTCTTATAGCTGCATAGTACTCCATTGTGTATATGTACTACAGCTCTTTTATCCATTCGTCTACTGATGGACACTTAGGCTGTTTCCAGATCTTAGCTATTGTAAAAGTGCTGCTATGAACATGGGGGTACATATATTCTATCTGATTGGTGTTTCAGGCTTCTTAGGGTATATTCCTAGAAGTGGGATCAATGGGTCAAATGGAAGTTTAATTTTTAATTTT